CATTTAAAAAAAATGTTACACACACACACACACGCACACACACAGGTTTTCCCACCTTTATCTCTCATCTGCCCTTCACTCACCCAGGTACATACATAAACAGTCCGATGCATACACACTGGCGTACAGGCACACACACCCTGTGCTGGCTCCCAGCTTGAGGCCGTCGGGGTGTGTGTGCTTCCTGCTGGTGATGATGTCATCACAAGTGAACAATGAGGGAGACCGGCATACAAACACAGGAAGTGGTGTCCAGACCCCCGCCCTGCACACACACACACACACACACACACACACACACACATCATTCCAGCCACTCAACTTTACACCCAATACATCAAGACTGTGCTTATACACCAACTCTCCTCTCCTAATGGCACTTAGCATTTGTATATACAGACCAAAGCAGTATCAACATGCATGTCTAAAAGCATGATGGAGTTTTGAGAGTGGCCTTTTTGCAGTACTAGTATGTCTAACTCTTTTCTTTCTCTTGTTCAGGCCCCTTAGTATCTCAATGTTTCTCACCCTCTCTGTCCGTCTTGTGTCCTCCAGGCTGGTCTGGTGTCTCCCGACTGTCCCGAGCAGCTCCTCATCGCACTGGAACCCGAAGCTGCGTCCATTTACTGCCGTAAGCTCCGCCTCCACCAGGTGCTTGACCTGAGCTTGCAGCCAATCGCGAATGGCTTTGATCTGGAAGGGTCCCGGCCCTTTGACTCCAGCTTCAGGCAAGGTAGTGAAGCGAGAGAGTGTGTATTTCTGTGTGTGTACTTTTGTATGTGTGTGTGTGAAAGTGTTCTTGTGGACTTTGTCATTAGCATATGCATGAAACCACAGTGTGTTCATGGAAATGTTGTCGGATTCCACTTGGGGATTGTGGTTTATGCAAAGGACCAACTGGGTTTGTTTGTGTGTGAGATCTGACTTCAGATACTTCTCGTGGTTTTTCCTCAGAAGACTTAGCATTTTTTCTAGATTTTGTGGTATTCTATTATCTTATGTGTATTTTGTGGCAATGTGGCTTTTCAATTCATTATTGCAAAGTTATTTGTGGCATCCAGGGTCGATTTTCTGCATAGACGATGCTTGTGACTGGCAGTGAGAGCAGAGCATGGGTATTAAAACTCTTGTTCTTTGATAAAAAGTCAAATGCGCAAACCTGTGCACATAAAAACACGAGGGGAGAACTTAACTACGACTCCAACGATACAATGGGCTTCAAATCTTAAAGGTGAGCTTTGTAAAAAACCTGCATACTACATTCAGATTCTGAGTCAATGACGATGGCACAGAGTCATGCTCATAATTGCAACGATGGAAGCATTTTGTATTTGCTGAAGCTATGATTTGAGCCTCTGACGTTTTTTTTTTGGAGCACTTTATAGCACTCGGGGTTAGCGCATCAAGCTGTAAACACAACACCGGCATGTTATCACGCCATAAGGTTGATTTGGCAAACGTGTATGCAGACAGTTCCCAATGTACACACTGTACTCACGCACCTTTTAGCTCTGTTTGGGTCCCCGCTCATGAGGGAAACAAGTGCTCCACTCTGTATGTTACCTATCAGTCATTTAGTGCTCGGCTGAGAGTGAACCCAAACCAGAAAACTAAAACAATGAGCTGAAAGATGCTAAAACACTCCATAGAGCTGAGAGGAACCGCACAGTTGGGTGATGGTTCTCTGCAGGTTTTGGTTACAAGAGACTTCTTTAACATTACAAATTAGTCATTTGACCTATTGTTGATATAACAATATTGAATAGTGGAGCTAAAGTGGAGAAAAACACCTCCAGAACCAGAAACTCCTTTCACTTTGCAACTCTATAGTATGTGGATCCACAAGGTTATATGACTGCATAACTTTTCAAAATAAAAGGACAAAAGAGACTATGACTGAGTGGAAACATGACTGTCGTCACGACTACATTAAAGCTGCAGGGAGAACATTTGTGTTTGCAGCAGCTGCAGGGAAATGCTACCAAATTTGCAGCAAAGGGCGAACAAGGAGATGGATGCACAATTCAGCGAACGAACACGCCGTCCAAAATCCCCTGCACAGGCCCACTTACACATACGTATTACACAGGGCCACGCAGACAGAGAACATTCACACACACACACACACACACACACACACACACACACACACACACAC